CACACAAACAAAAACCTAAAAAAAAAAAAGAAGAAGTAAACAAAGCAAACAAAAATTCTGCACTCAAGGAACTTATAAAAATGTCTCCATCTCCAGCTGCTTGATTTCCTCCCAACTCCAACCCAGACACCTCACCAGTACCTCAAACTCAACAGGACCCTTCGGAAAACCGTCTGACAGTTCCTAAAATAATTAGAGAGTTACCATATGAGCTCCTAGTTATATAACCAAGCGAAATGAAAGCATATGTTCACACAAAACTTGTAAACGAATGTTCAAAACAGCGTTATTCATAACAGCCCCAAAGTAAAAACAACCCAAGTGTCCATCACCCGCTGAATGGATAAACAAAATGTGGTCTATCTGTACACTGGACTGCTATTCAGTGTGAATAATGTACTGTATAATAACACTGTAATGTATTTGGTATGAATGAATACTGACAATATGCTACAACACCGATGAACCCGGAGACCATTCTGCTAAGTGAAAGCAGGCAGACACAAAAGGCCACAGACGATAGGATTCCAAGACATGAAATGCCCAGAACAGGCAAAGCAGGCTGTGGGGAGGGGGATGGGGAGCGACTGCCAATGGGTATGGGTTTCCTTTGGGAGCAATGAACATATTCAGGAATTAGATATTGATAGTCGCACAACTTTGTGAATATACTGAAAACCACTGAGTCACATGCTTGAAAAGGGTGAATTGTGTGTCAGGTGAATTACATCTCAGTGAAAAAGATAATCCAACTGGACCAACCTGAACTCCCCACTCCTCTGCATACAACTTCCTCCTCCTGTGCCCCTCACCATGGGGGATCCAGTCATGCCCAAAGCACACACTGATTTTTCAGTTATATACATAAGCTGATCGATATTCCATACCCCTCCTTTCATAGCCAGTGTGAATCTGGCATCTGTCACTGGGAATCAAAGGAGTCCTGGCTAATTTGTCTACAAAAGGGGCTACTCCTATAGGCCCCCGTCAGGCTGAGTGATCCCTTCATCCTCTTAGTCACCGAGAAGAGTCTTGAGCCATCCTCAGCCTCTCCCTGCCCCTCTGCCCCACCCTGTGCCCTCTCTCTGTCTCATGGAACCCAGCACAGACACAGGCACAGAGAAGATGCTATAGACATGTCCCTTGGATGAATTTCTCTCAGAGATAGTTTGTCTCTGTCCTTATTCCTGATGGAGTCCCTCAGTGGTGAAAACGGTTAACACGCTTGGCTGCTAACTGAAAGGCTGCAAGTTTGAGCTCATCAGTGGTGCCTGAGGAAACAGGCCTGGTGATCTGCTAGTTCTGTTCTGACACACGTAGGGTTGCTGTGAGTCGGAATCTAACGACCTTGCTTGATTTGCTCCGGGATCAAGACTGCAGAAGCACGTGACTTCAAGATCTCTGCATGGGGCCTCTGAGGAGGCCAAGAAGGTCCTGAAAGTGTGCTGAGAGCAGACTTGCCCAGCTTCTAGCCTCCAGGCCTTTGCCCACGGTGGGCTTCCACTACCATGTCACCTCTTCCAGGAAGGCTTCCCTGACCCAGCCTCTCTAAGTTGCATTCACAAACCCCTTGGGGGGCCCTCCAGTGTGCTACAGACGGACCTCCCCACTCACAACCAGAGCCCCACCCCGGGCAGGGACACAGCACAGAATGCCCCCAGCATGGGCCTGCACCACGTCAAGCACAGACTTTCAGGCTTAAAGAATATCCAAAGGTCATGGGCACCGAAGCCGACTCCTCACACCCTTTCTGTGACAGAGCTCATCACCTCCCAGGAGACCGTTGTAAACGTGACCATTTTAATTTGAGCCAAGTGATATCTTAGCTCAGCCCTCCAGGGCCTCAAGCCCATCCATTCCTTCTGCTTTTCCTGGACTTTCAGGAAGAGTGTGACGGATGAAGGCCATGTTTCCTTCTCTGGAATCTGTTTGGATTCTCAGCGTCTCAGTCTCTGCCTCTGTCTCAGCAACTCTCTCCACCTCATATTCTCTCTTCATCTGACTTGTTGCTGGCCTCCAATATTTGTCCCTGTGGCCAGTTCTGCCTCTGACTCTATCACCCACCCCACCCTCAGGTCGTGCCCCTGTCTCTCAGGTACAGGGGTCTGGCTCTTCCCTGATGGTCCCCTCAATGATCACAGAATCAGACATTGAGATAGATGCGTGGATAGGGTCCAGTCCCTCCTCAAGAAGAACAAATTGTTGAGCTTGGGTGCAACATCTTCAGATGGGTGTTTTCCAACCCCTTCCTATGGAACAAATGGGAAACTGAGGCCTGATGTGCTGAGGCTGAGTTCCAGGCAGCACCACTTCTTGGTCTGCAGCTGCAGGCTCTTCAGGAGTCAATGCAACACTAGGAAGTGGCCAGATGAGGGCACCAGAGACAACAGGAGCTGCTACCTACGTTGGAATCAGAAACCTAGGCTGGGAAGTGGAGTGAGGTAGAAACGGACCTGGCCTTCCGGACCAGGCTGCTGTGTGACTTGGGCAGGTCAGTGCCCCTCTGTGAGGTTGCTTCCTTTGCAGGACATCAAGCTTCACTTTGGAGCCATGAATACCTGGGTTTAAATCCTGACTTGGCTTCTTCCTAGCTGACCTCTTGTCACTGACACTCAGGAGGGTCACAACCATTTGGAACCTGAATAGGTTATCTTTGGAAGGAGGAGGGTAGTGAGGTCCCCATCATTGGAGGTATGTTGCTCAGGGCTGAAAGGCAACTTGCATGAGTGACAGGGCCTGGGCACCAAATACAAGTGGCCTGTCCTTCCACTCTGACACTGACCAGCATACAGCACACAGCACTGCTCACAGCTGCTGATCTGGAAGCGGAAAGAGGGGCCACAGTGAGGAAAATATGCTCCCAGTCTTTTCAGGCGAGGGGCAGGCTGGGCTTGAGCGGGCAACCTCTCTCCTCCAGGGAAGGTCTGGGGTGAAGCGAGTGGTGGTAGACTTCTAGACCAACCCTGGGCTGGCATCACACCACCAGCGCCCCCATTACAAAGGTGCCCCAGAGGTGGGAAAGAGGAAGACAACAGAAGTGGGGCTGAGGCTCGGAGGTCAGGAGGTCTCAGTTCTAAGCCTCAATTTGATGCTACTTGCTGTGTGACCTGGGACTCAGTTTCCCTCACAAGTAGATGTCAAAGTGGTCTGTGAACAGGGTGAAAGTCAGCAGCACAAAGGCATCAGAAGGCTGGGTCCCCGCTCTGGTTCCACCTGACCAGCTCTGAGGCCTTGGGGACAGGATAGGGAAGTCTGTTGTGGATGCTAGAGGCCCTGGGAGGGCCAAGACTACGTGCTTTCTGTTTGGACCCCTGGTTGGCACACCTTGGTTGGATCCATTTTACAGTCCTAGTTTGTTCCCACAGCAAAAATGGGGACATGGAGACCAGAGAGGCAGAGCCCTCAGGATCACATACCAAAGTCAAGCAGGGACTACTGGGCAGCCCCAGGCCCCCAGCAGGGGCTGAGTCCCCTTCAGTGTCCCTGGGGCCTCCAGGAGCCCTCCACAGAGTCATTGTGAGTGGACATGATGCATCACACATAAAGCACACACATCAGGCACTTGGGCACACAGCCACAGGGCACACCTGGGCGCACACCCCTGTGAGCACTGAGACACACTGAGCAGACATACCCACTAGGCACATGCCCAGGCACACCAGGGCACAAGGGCAATGGAGTCATGGGTAGGACACACACGTGCGCTCACGCAGTACACACACATGTTGCACAAGCACACTCACACACATGCAAGCCCGTCAGGCCTGTCTTGGCTCCCAGGCAATGAAACTAGGAGAGGGGAATCCCATCCTGCATCTGACCCTGCACTCCTGGGACAGTGGGACAAGTCCAGAGACACCCAGAAGGGAGCCGTCATCCCTGGGGCCAGAACTGACACCCCACCTTGAAGGCACCAAGACTTCAGGATTTGAGGGTGTCTGCTCTGTTGTGTGCCGTTGAGTTGATTCCAACTCATAGCAACCCCTATATGACAGAGTAGAACTGGCCCATAGGGTTTCCTAGGCTGTAATCTTTATGGGAGCAGATCATTAGGTCTTTTCTCCTATGGAGCAGCTCGTGAGTTCAAACCGCTGACCTTTCAGTTAACAGCAAACACTTAACCATTGCACCACCAGGGATCCTTTACTCTGCTCTAACCCACTGCCTTGAGTGGATTCTGACTCATCGCGATCCTATAGGACACAGTAGAACAGCTCCATAAGGTTTCCAAGGCTGAAAATCATTACAGAAGCAGACTGCTCTATCTTTCTCCTGGGGAGTGGTTGGTGGGTTCAAACCGTCAATCTTTCAGTTAGCAACTGAGTGCATAATCACTGTGCCACCAAGGCCCCTCTTCTCTGTTTCAGGGGCCTGAGATACAGAAGGGAAGGTGGTGGCAGAGCCTGTCCCTCTCTGATCTGTAAGGTGAGCATGGCTCTATATCAGTACCACCCTGGCTGGCTGGGAGGTCAGAGGTAGGAGGACCGGAGGAGCTGTGGTTTGCTGGGACCCTACCACACATCATGTAAGGGAACCACTAACACTGAAAGGAGCTCTGGTAGTGTAGTGCCTAAGACATTTGACTGCTAACTAGAAGGTTCAGCCACTCCTCGGAAGGAAGATGGGGCAATCTACGTTCTGTAGTGATACTACCTCGGAAATCCAAGGAGGGGTTGCTCTGAGTTGGGTCTGACTCGACGGCAAAAAATAACAACAACAACAGTTCTCAAAGGCCAAAGGCCAAAAGCCTTGCCTCTTGTTCACCATATGACCCAGGGGAGGACCTCTCCTCCTCTGCCTCGATGTCCCCAACTCAACAGGGAGTTAGCAGAGTTTTCCGTTCCTTCTGAAGAGCACGGTGGTTTGTCAGGAAAGTCTTCCAATGGACACAGAGAAAGAGAGGCTCCTTGTATCATGGGGTGGGGAACATCCCAGAGCTAGAAGATAGGCCCAGATGGGGAGCTGGTGAAAAAGGGTGGCAGGGAGGGGCCCAGACTCACCCAACGACGTAGACCAGAACCACGAACTGGGTCAGCCGGAAGATGACGCCCACCTTCTTGTTGCGCACGAGCACCATTCGGGGAGTGTCATACTGGAAGAAGAAAGCGGCCATCTCATCCTGGAGCCGCTGCGCCATGATGGGCCAGGATGGGGCTGAGAACTGAGTCCCTGCACGGCCTGCACTTGAGGGCTTGAGGCGAGCGGCCATCAACACCTAGGATCACAGCTGCACTTCTGGGGGCAAGGTAGAGCAGGTGGGGCCAGAGGTCAGGAGTCAGAGGTCAGGCTGGAGGAGCTTGAGGTGGGGGGGGAGAATCCTTGGGTGGTCAGAGCCGCTCTTGGCCAGTGCAGGCAGCGGAGTGCAGGCCAGCCGCTCCCATGGACTAATAAATTCCCAAAGATAGATGGGGGCGGGGCTGGTGGGGCCACCCAGGCCCAGCCCCACTACCCCTTCTGGCTCCGCCTGGGCCCTGCTGGCCTCCGGAAACAGGAGTTGGCCGGAAACCACAGGCTACCCGTCATAAGGGCAAAGATAAAGCTGTCAGATCCCCAGCGTTTTGGCCAGGGCCTAGGGAAGCCTCAGAGCCCTCCCAAAGCCAGGGACCCAGCCCCACTTCCAGCCATTCTCTCCTCCCCCAAGCCCAGCCCCCAGAGTGGGCAGCTCAGTCCCTGGGGACCTGCAGCCATTCGGACAGAAGTGGAAGGAGGGTGATTTTGGTCTCCCTGCCTGACACTTTCTGTGCCTGTGGCAGGATGCCCACTCCTGTCCTGATCTGGAAGACAGCCTTCTGTCCACCCAGCTCTCTGGTCCAAGGCCTGCCCTGATTCAAGTAGTCTCTATGTTGGGCTGGAATCTCGTCTCCCACTCCTAGTCTTCCTCTAACTCCCCTCGGAGCAGAGGAGGAGGCAGGTCCCCAGATAACATCAGGAGCTTTGAGACCCAGCCGTGACATCAGCCTGCCTGGGTTTAGCATCCCTGTTCTGCCACTTCCTGGCTGTGAGGGCAAGGACAAGCTGCCTCATCTCTGGGAGCCTGCTTCCTCATCTGTAAAATGGGGACTATGGGGTCCTTTCATCACAGGCTGAGGTCCCTGGGGGACAGCTTCTGACAATACAGGAAAGAGGCCACTATTGAATTTGAGGTACAGCCCTTCTGTAGACCCTACCCTCATCAACCCCAGCTCAGCCCTTGAGCACAGGGTGTCTCAAGGGAGGGTTATGGGGGATGGTCCAAGTAAGCCTGTCCCATGCTACCTCTCCGAGCCCCAGAGCTTGAGGCCTCTCCACCCCGAAGTAATTAAAGCTTACATTGGAGGAATGAATTTCCTGAGCTCACCCTGGAGGTACTGGAGGGTCAAGCTTGAAGCAGGAGCCTCACTGGTCACCCCCTAACCCTTGTTGGGCCCCCCTGGGCTCCCAGAAGAAGTATCCCTAAGCTTCAGGGATGATAGGGACTCTTCTTCCCAGGAAATCACTCTGGGCAGGGAGCCATGACCCTTCCCACACCCCAGGCCACCCCCAGTCTGTCAAGATGAATGAGCCTCCTCCCAGCTTCCCACCAATTCAGTGAGGATGTCTCAGGCACAACTGTGGGACGCCACCTTCAAGAGGGGCTGGCAAGAGCCTTTAGGGCTTTTCTAAGGAAAACTGCAGAGAAGCTGAGAGCCCAGGATGTGGCAAGCACGTCTTCTTGGTGGAATCTTGCCCCGGGACCAAAAAGCCCATCCATTTCCCAGCTGATCTATAGCCCTTGGAATGGAAGGCCAAGGACCTGAGCCACCTGGATGGGGAGTGGGTGGGCACCAAGACTAGATCTAAGTCGTCTCTGTATTTCCCTGTACCCACCCATCCCTCTGACACACCATGCTCAGGACAGCATAGGCACTGACTGAGGGAGGGAGGGAGAGGAAGGAAGGAGGAAGGAAAGAAGGAAATAGGAGAGGAGGGAGGGAGGAAAGGAAGGGGGAGAGGGAAGAAGACTAGCTTCTCACACCACCTCCTCCTCCTCCTCTACAGAGCAGGCTTACTGACCAACGGGTTGGCTGATGGACAGATGGACTTGCTTGGAGCACACCCTTGCTCCTGTTATAGCCTCAGTACTGACCCCAACACTCAGAAAACAGCCTGGCCTGGAGGACTGTCTCATCTGGGGACGTTAGCATATCCAGAGTGTGCCCCAAAGAAGAAACAAAGAAATCACATCTCTCTCCCCAGATACCTTCTTTTTCTAATTATTCCTCAAGAGTAAGTTAGTCAGCCGATACGTCAATGTTCCTAGCACTGGTTCTAAAATGCATCTTTCTGGTCCGAGGCCTTTCCCACACGTGGTTGCAACTGCAGCATGCCCAGAGGAAAGACCGTGTTTGTTCTAGGCATTGTGGGGTTGGGGATGAGTATACAGGTGTCAGAGTGCTTTGTCAGGAATTCATCAGGTTTTTCTTCCTAATGTCCCTATGAGGTAGGTCTGGTAACGTAGTGCCTAAAGCACTTGACTGCTAACCAGAAGGCTGGCGGTTCAAACCCACCAGCCACTCCTCGGAAGGCAGGTTTGGCAATCTACTTCTGTAGTGATACTGCCTCAGAAACCCAAGGAGGGGTCTCTATGAGCTGGGTGTGACTCAATGGCAAATAACAACAACAACATAAGGTAGGTACCAAACCGAAAAAAAAAACACCTCACTGCCCTTGAGTCGGATCCGACTCATAGCAACCCCTCCTTGGCTTTCTAAGGCAGTATCACTTCTGAAGTAGATCGCCCAACTTTCCTTCTGAGGGGTGGCTGGTGGGTTTGAACTACCAGCCTTCTGGTTAGCAGTCAAATGCCTTAGGTACCAGTGTTCCCATTTTACAGAAGTGGAAACTGAGGCTTCTGAGGTTAAGTACCTTGCCCAAGGTTCTACAATGACTAGCTCCCATGTTTGCTAGGGGCTGGGAAGGAGGCTCCCCAAAGTCTGAGGGCTTGGCCCAGCGCCTACCCCAAGTCTCCAGCACTTGAGAGCCGTCAGGCCTGCCTTATAAGCCCAAAGGCCGGGTGGCTGGCTTGGGTACTGGGCCGGGCCTTGTAGGGAGACAAAGCTGTGCTGCCAAGCACTCGGCCCCAGCATGGCCTCCCCCTGCCTGGCTAAATTTAGCAGCTCTATGGAGCATGGAAGGAGCCCTAGTGGCACAGTAGCTAAAGCACTTGGCTGCTAAGAGAAAGGTCAGCAGTTCAAACCCACCAGCTGCTTCATGGGAGAAAGAGGTGGCAGTCTACTTCAGTAAAGATTTATAGCCTTGGAAACTCTATGGGGGCAGTTCTGCTCTATAGAGTTGCTAAGTTGGAATCCACTTGATGGCAATGGGTTTGTTAGTTTGGGTTTATAGGGTGTGGAAAGGGCCAATGCCTGTTTGGGAGCTGTTACTCAGGCCTGGAGGCCAGTTCAGGCCTTCCTGGTGATATAAGGTCCGGCGAGCCTCCTTAGCCCCTTAGGGTCTCAAGATTGCAGGGGCCATACCTCTCCCCCCAGAGAAGGTCAGTCCAAACCCTCACACCCCCTGGGCCTGCTCTGGTGTCCCAGGAGCTCACTCAATGCCATACAGTTGCTCAAGCACCCACAGGAACAAAGCCCTGAGTCAACTTCATAGTGACTGCGGAGGGAGGCCGAGGGGCCCAGCAGTGTTCCTCAGGGTCGGAAGCTCCCGTTGCCTCTTCCGTCTTCCCACTACGGGCCATGACCAGACTGGGTCCCCCTCCTGAGCATCCAAGGAGTCACATCCCCTGGTCCTCCTCCACCTTTTGGGTTGCTTCTCCTGGGTCCCTAGCCTCTTCCTGTACTTGGAATGTGGGGACTCCCCAGAGCTCTGGCCTAGGCCTATTCTCTCAAACACTGCACACTTAGGAGGCCTCGTCTCCTTCCCAGCTCCATAAGGCTGAGTCCTCCACCCATACCGACACTCACTCACTCTCTAGCCACATGCTACCCACTTCCTCTCTGGCTCCTGCCTCTTCTTCTTTTTAAATCAAACTGTATTGGGGTATCATTTACTTATAATGTGCTTTTTAAAAATGTACTTATTTAAGGGCACACTTTGATGACTTTTGACAAATGCACACATTCACGTAACCACCGCCCCAGTTCATCATCTTAGCATGCTCTCACATGTCTTCTTGCAGTCCATCTCCAATTCCAGTCCCAGGCCATCGCTGACCTGCTGTTTGGCACCACAGATTTGTTTAGCCTTTTCTAGAACTTCATATGGAGTCCCTGAGGGGTGCAAGTAGTTAACACACCTGGCTGCTATCCATAAGGTTCGAGGTTCAAGTCCTCCTAGAGGCACCACAGAAGAAAGGCCTGGCAATCTGCTTGTGAATGACCACAGCCACTGAGAACATTATGGAGCACAGGTCTACTCCGACAGTCACCATGAATCGGAGTTGACTCGATGGCCACTGGCAGAACTTTATACGTAACTGGAATCATTAGCTTTTCTGGTATCTGACTTCTTTCATTAAGATCATGATGTTAAGCTTTATCCACATCAATGCTTGTATCCATAGTTTGTTCCCCTTCACTGCCCAGGAGGATTCCACTGTATAGATGGACCAAAGTTGTTTACCATTCATCTGCTGATGGACATCTGGATTATGTCCAGATTTTGGTTATAATGAAAAGGCTCTGCTATGGACCTTTGGGTTTGAGTCTTTGTGTGGACCTATGTCTTCATTTCTTCTTCTGACTCTGTTTTGCCCTTCTGTTCCCCCTAACACTGACCCCAGTGTGGTCCTTCCCACTCCTGTGAATGGAGGAGCCACGGGGGTGTGGGGGAACACAGAGCCCTGGTCACTGGAGGGGGAGGCCAACCATTTGGCAGCTGCCATCACTGTGCCAGTGAGGAGTGTGCCTGGGCTTGCCCCGGAATTCCCTCCTGAGCGAGCAGAACTGTGAGGTGAGGAAACCTCTCTGTTTACCTTGGCCACTCCATCTTGGCCTACTGAGCTCCATGCCGTGGGCTGGACAGAGCCAGACTTGGGCAGGCCTGGGTGGGGGTGGAAGCAAAGCAAGCCCGGCCATGGTGCCCCAGAGGCTACTGGGAAGGCTGGATCCAGCCTCACTTCACACACAGGTCCGCCAGGCCCATCTCAGCTCCCATCTTGTC